ATCTCCGCGTCTCCCAGTCCCTGCGCGGCCTCCCTCTCCGGGTCCCCGGCCGTCCCTCCGTCTCCGGGTCTCTCCTCGACTCCCGCTCCCGCTCCGTCCCCCGGGGCCCCGGGCCTCGCCCCCCCCCACACCGCCCGGCCTCGTCCCCCGCCCCGGTGCCCGCTCCCCAGGACGCCGCGGGGGCCATGGCCGCGCGATCCCAACTTTAAACACTTCTCGCCGGACCGGAGCGGAGGCGCAAACCCCGGAAAGTGAGTGAGCGCCGCGGGCCGGCGCAGGGGCGGGGATGGGGGGCGGGGCGCGGGAGGTGCTCCCGAGGGACCTTCGGAGCCAGACCGCCGAGCCCGGGGCGGGGAAGGCGGGCAGGGTCGCCGGCCCCGGCGGAGGCGGCGGGTGGGGGCAGCGCTCGGCTCCGGGGAGGTGGGAGGGGGAGACGTCTGGAGGTGCGCGCTCGGGGCAGGGGGCCGGGACGCGGGGGCGGAGGAGAGTGTGAGCGAGTGCGAGTGGTGGGGCCCGGGAGACACCCAGGTCTGTTTGGGAACCCGGGCTGGCGGGCACACCTGAGGGTGGGTCTGGACCTTTGGGGTTAGAATCCTGGGGCGGTAGGGGGAATGGGGGGTGGAGTTAGGGGCCAGGACTGAAGGCTTGAAATTTGGGACCTGGGGGTTCAGAGCCAAGAGACTGAATATTTGGGGTTGAGAGCTGTTTGGGGCTGGGGGTCAGACTAGGGGTGTGGACATTTGGGGCTGTGGTCAGTATGGAGGTTTGGATGGGGGGCCTGGAGCTGGGAGGTCTGGATTTGGAGCTGGAGTTCAAGGCTGAGGGTCTGCACATTTGGGTCTGGATATTTGATGTATGGGGGTCAACAGGGCCTGTGGGAAAGACATTGGGCCAACATAAATGGGTCTGCACACTTTGGGGCTGGGAGTGCAGGTCTAGCCCTGACCTTCGAGGGGGGCTGTGTCCTTCTGGGGACAGGTGGCTGAGTATGCTGCCTACCCTCTCTGTTATTCCACAACCGTCCCAGGGCCGTGCTGGGCCACCTCCGCCATCTCTTTCCTGGCTGGGTCTCTCCTTACCGGGTCTCTGTCTCTTTGGGCATCTCTGTGTCCGCCTCTAACTCCCAGAATCTCTCTCTGTCTCAGACTCTTTGTCTCTCGAAGCATCTCTCTCTCCCTCTTTGGGTCCAACTCTTGGACTATCTCAGAATCTCTGCCTCTCTCTTTCCATGTCTTTCTCAGAATCTCTTTCTGTCTCTCTGTCTCTGCCTTTCTCTGTCTCTTAACTATCTCTCTGTCTCTCCCAGCATCTCTGTCTCTGTCTCCCCCTCGCTGGTTTCCGCTCAGATTAAGCCGGGGACCTAATTCCAGGCCCAGGATCGAATTTTCTGGCAACAAAGGGAAATAGCGAATCGATCGGTCGCTCCGGAGATTAAGAGACAAGCGGCGCGCGCGGATCTATCACGGCTAAACGGCCCCCCCGCCTGCTCCCCCTGCCCGGCCGGCCCGCCGAGGCCCAGACGCGCTCCGCATCGCCAAGCAGCCTCAGGAGCCCGGCTGCCCGGCAGGCCCTGCCGACCTCACTGAGCCCAGAGCTAACGGGTGGGGAGCTAACTGCCTGCCCTGTCCGGGGGGCCAAAGCCGGGGGAGGGATCCCAGCACCAGAACTGGCCCCTGGGGAGGCGAGGGGAGGGAAGTGAGCGAAATCAAGGCAGCAAATCACCCTGAAGAGCCACGCTGCACACACCTGTGGCCTCAGGTAACACCTTTCACTCCCACCTGCCTATCTGCACACCTGTCACGTTAACGTTTCCCTTTCAGTTCCCCACATCTGGACGTGCAGGTAACATTAGTCTCCTTGTACCTGTCCCCTGCAGGTAACCTGTCCTCTTCATCTGTCCCTGTAGGTACCACCTGTTTCCTCTCACCTGCTTTTCCAGGTAACACTTGTCCCTTGAAACCTGCCCCAGAGATGCCCACGATCTCTCAGGTAACAACACATGTTCCCTCTTACCTACCCCTCCAGGTAACACCTGTTCTCCAAAATCTACCCTTCCCACTCGAATCCCTGCATCTGTCTCATTTCGCGCCATAGTGTCCCTTTCCTACCTGCCCCTGCATCACCCCACCTGTCCCCTAAAGCTCCAGACACGCTTATTTCTCACGCATTCACATTTCTTCACTTCTGCCTCCCCTCAAGCAGTACCTGTTCACCATATCTTCGCGTGTGCGTGCGCGCGCGCGCACACACGCATGCACGCACACACACACACACACACACCTTCCCTTGCACAGAGGACTGACACGTGTCTTCTCTGAATCTGCCCTCAGGTAACGCCTGCCCCCTCCCTCCTCTCCTGTCCTGTACTTCTCCCTCACAGTGCTAACCGCAGCCACCCTCATCCCGGTCCTTCCCGAGGAGCTTCCGTCGCACGTGTCCCCTGGGAACACACCTGCCTCACCCTGCGCTCTCTGCTGGTCCCCATCTCCCATCCTCTTACACAGAGATACCTACTTCCACCTGTCTTTCCCACACCTGTCTTTCCCACTTGTCATTTCAGGTAACTCATCCCAGACAACACGTGCACCTGCCCCACCTGTCTCCTGACCTCAGCATGGCTTGATTGCTCACACATGCCGTGGTCCCTGGGTATCAGGTGTATCCTCCTTCCTCATGTCCCCCTCTCTCCTACAAGCCCTTGTCCTCTGAAAGGCCCCTGTCTCGCCTCCACACTTGCTGCTCACCTCCTTCTCGCTGTCTCTCCGTCTCTGCTTCTCTTCGTCTCGCTATCTCACGACACACAACCACACCACGCTGCTTCCCACATACACAGGTTGGGGCAGAGACTCTGTCCTTGGCCACAGGCACTTGCCTGACCTGTATACCTGTTTCCCCACACCTGTCCCTCGGGCACTGTCTGCTGCTCTTCTTTACCCATACCACTAATTTCCCATGTTTCTCACTTCCTCCTTCCTTGCTGCCCAAGGTCACACCAATCTCTCTACACCTTGGCCCCTTCCTCACCTGTCTGCCCCAGGCATCACCTGCTCCAGGTCCATGCCCCTGCCTCATTTCTTTGGCAAACAGGTGCTGGGACTTCCCCACCTGCCCCCTCCCTAATCTCTCGCTGCTTTACATCTCTTCCAGTGGGTCTCTGCCATTCCCCTGGTGTCCCCAGCCTGTCCCCAGGGGGAACGCCTACTCCTGTCCCCACTCCTGCCCCACAGACGTGCACCAACATCAAGTCCCCTTCGCTCTTCCCCCTCTCATGACATCCATGTAACTTGGCCTTTCATAGCTTTTTCTTTAAAAAAAAAAAAAAATTTTTTTTTTTTAAGTAAGCTCCACGCCCAATGCGAGGCTTGAATTCAGGACCCCGAGGTCAAGAGTCACAGGCTTTACTGACAGAGCCAGCCAGGTGCCCCCCTTTTTCAGACATTGTGTACTCATCCCACATCTCTCAGCCACCTTGTCTCAGCTGTGCTCATCCACACTAGCTGCTCGTGCAAGCTGTCACCCCCACGTGTTTAGCACCCACCCCTCAGATCCCTCACACCTGTCTCCAGCCTGCTCCCCTCTGGAAATACCTGTCCCTTTTCACAGGACACGTCACCAGCCATCTATCAGGGAACACCTTTCTTGATGGGCGTAAGTACCACCTGTAGCATTTGTTAAACACCCAGGACACCTGTTCCCAGCTGTCCCCACACCTGCCCGCTGCATTGTACGGACTCCCTTACGCCAGAGGTTCTCAGACTTCTGCGGGCATTGGAAACCCCTGGAGGGCCTACTGGGACACACAGCTCTGGGCCTCACCCCCGAGCTTCTGGTGCGGCGGGTCTGACCCAGATGGAGCCTGAGACTCTGCATTCCTCACAAGGTCCAGGTGCTGCTCCTGCAGGTCCACGGACCACCCCTGGAGTAGCACCTACCTACTCATCCCGTGTTCCCAGCTAGTGCTTTGTTTTTTTTTTTTTCCTAGATTTTATTTTTACGTAATCTCTGCCCCCAGCATGGGGCTCGAACTCACAACCCTGAGATCAAGAGTCGCGGCCAGGCGCCCCATCCAGCTACTGCTTATTAAGCCTGTCTCTGTGACAGGCAGTGTTCTCGGTTCTTCCTAACCACGGTCTCCTTTCATCCTCACCAGACCATATGAAGCACGTCCTTTCTCTTATCCCCACTGTACGGAGAAGGAAACTGAGCCCAGGGAAATGGAGTTATTTCTTGGCGGTCTCAGAAACTGGGCGATCTCGGAGGCCATCTGACTACAGTCATCCAGGTGTCCTTAGCTCCACACCTGGCTATCAGGTGACCCCCTTCTTCCACGGACACATCTGTCCACCTTGTTGCTTGGGCAGCGTGTGTCTCCGCATCACGCCGCCAGCTGTCTGCACCCCAGCCTCCCCCTCTCCCCCTACTCCTGCCCTCGGATACGCCCCACCTTCCTGCTTGCACACCTGGCCTCTCTCGGACACGGACTCCCGGGGCCAGGCTCACCATCGGCGTCCTCACTCCCACCTGCCCTCCCAGCTGCCTGGAGCCAGCCCAGCTCCTGCCACCATACACCTGTTCCCTCAGACACACCTTGTTCTCCAGAACTACCCATCCCTCCACGGGCTGCTTTCCCAGCTCCATTCCTCTCTGCCCACCCTGCCTTTGTTCGCTTCTTCTATTCCATCTCTGCCTCAGTCTGCCCACCTCCCCCCTGCCTGTCTCTGAAGCTGAGTCTGTGTCTCTCTCTCTCTCTCCCTCCCTCCCTGTCTCCTTGTTCTCTGTGTTTCTCCACCTCTGTCTCTCTCGGTGTCTCTGTATCTTAACTCTTTTTAGTGTCTGACTCTTTCTCTGTGTCCTGTACTCTGTCTTTCTCAGGCTCTCTTTGTCTCCTCCCTCCTCTTCTTTCCTGGTCCCTTGATCTCTCCTCTGATGGTGCAAATTTTGGGGGGCTTGAAGTCATGCTGACCCACTTTTGAGTCCAGGCCTCACCACCCACCCCTGTGGGACTTTGGCCAAGTTACTTTTCCTATCTGAGCCTCAGTTTTCACATCTGCGAAATGGGCATCCTGGTAGTTGCTACCTCCCAGGTCGTGGTGAGGATGGGGTGGTGAGGGGAAGCAAGAGGACCTGGGACAGAGAGGGGCAGGTCTTCCCGCCAAGGCTCCCTTTCTGTCCCTGTCTTTCTCAGGGCTGCTGCCCCACCTGGCTGTCAGCGGGAGTGTGTGTGGTGGGGTAATGGAGAGAGAGATGGGCAGAGGCGTCCGGCCCAGGGCTTGGGCATGGGCCCCGGTGTGGGGCTGGGGACAGGGATCGATCCGCCTCGGCGGCAGTGCGCGGGCCAGGATTGCATCTTGTCACAATAATTTATTGCTCTCATCCCGTCTGATCGATGGAGCTGAATTAGCACCGTGCGATGCCCCTGGAGCCCCGAGCCTTCCCCAGCCCGGCCAGACCCCGGCCCTTCTCTGGCCCTCATGGGATCCCCTGCAGCCCAGGCACCCAGCTCTAGCTGGCCTAGGCCCCACACCTGGCCCCAGGCTATCAGGCCCTGCCCCCTATCTCCTGTCCCCCTACCCCTCTCTTCCTTTTCTGCGTCTCACTTCTGCCTTCCTGGGTCTTTGACCCCATTTATCTGCTCATTTCTTCTGACCCTCAGTCACTCCCCTCTTCCCCATTTTTGTCCCCATTTCCCCATCTGTTTCCCTGTCCCCCTGTATTCCTGTGTCTCGGTCCTCCATCTATCTGTCCCTCTACCTCTCTGCTCCATTCCTGTCTCCATCCCTCTGTCCTCCTGTCCCCCATCTCTAGGCCCCTCACCCCAGGTCTTGCTATCCCTTAGTCTCTGGCTTTCTGTCCCTTGACTCACTATCTGTCTCCTGGCCTTGCTTCTTTGAATCTGAATTTCCCATTTAAACATTTCCTGAGCACATACTTGGTGCCAAGCCCCATGAACAAGACACACAGTGCCCGTGCCTCTTGGCTGTGACAGCCCAGAGGGGCTCTGGGACTCTTGGCTCCTGGGATTAGCTGGCCACGCTTGCCTTCAGCTTTCTGTCCCTGGACCCCGCCACCAATCAGTCTTGGCCCTGCACGTCTGTCACTGTCTCTGATACAAGGCTTGGGGCCAAAAGGTCCAGCCCTGCAGCTGGGTGGGGCCTGGGGTATGGGGATGAGCCAGGGGAGGGAGCTGGGACTGAGGAGCCTTGGGAAGACATTGGGGCTCAGGATGAGGCAGGAGGTGGGAATGGGCCAGGTGGAGGTGAGGAGGAGGGGCAGGAGTTGGGGTGGCAGCCAGGAGCCCGGTCAGACCCCTGGGACACGGACCCCCCCCAAGGACTGCAGCTGGGCATGGCGCTGGCCTCAAACCCACACCTGTGCTCCCCCCTCACTCCTGCCTCTGCCCAGCAGCCCCTGCCCTCCCTGTCCACTCCTTTGCCTCTGCCCTAATCCCTTAATTTTCCGCATCTCTGCCCCTTCTCTCCTTCCTCCCTGACAGGGGTCCCTCCTTGAAGCAGCTCTCTTCCCGACCTCCGCTCCCTAATTCACTTTGTCCAAGCTGCTCTGACTCATTCCCCTTTTCCGGGTCTCCCTAGCTCGGCCCCCTCCCCACTCTGTCTGTCTCTCGGGGTCTTGTTCTTTCCCCGTCTTTGCAGGACTCTCTGATCTCCCATCTTTTCTCCGTGTCTCTCTGGTCTCTCTCCCCATCTGTCTCCCGGTAGGTGTTGCTTCCTGCTTCTCTCTCTGCACCCCCCACATGTCTCTCCTTCTCCCTGTTTCCCCCCCACCCCCTGCGCTTCCTCCATCTCTTGGGGTCTCTGAGGGGGAGGGCAGGGGGTAGGGAAGCAGCCTGAGCTCTGGATCCACATCCCTGGTTGCGCCTCTCCCCTCCCCTCCCCTCCCCTCTCCCAGTGCTGTTTGGTAGGCGGGGTGCATGGCACTGCGGCTCCCACCTCCCTGGGGATGCTCCCCCCCATCACCCCCCAACTGACACGGTTCCGCGTGCTGGCCACAGCCCCAGGGACGTTCGTGCAGAGACTGGGACTCAGGGAGGGAGAGAGAGGGAGGGAGAGCGAGGGACTGACCCAGAGACACATGACAGGCAGAGACCCCAGCTCGAGGGAGAGACAGGGAGAGGGTGGGTGGGAGGTCTCCATCCCTGCCCTGGCTCCTTGCCTCCCAACCACCCCAAACCGCGTGTCACAGACACACCTCCTCCAGGCTGGGAAGCTGGTGCCTTGTCTGTTTGCCAGTCTGTCCTTCTGTCTCTCTTGCAGAGCGCAGCCTCGGCAGAGGTTCCGGGGTGCGTGCGGGTGTGTCTGCAACTGCGTGTGTGACACTGCGTGGTGGTGGGGGGGGGCTTGACTGTCTTCGTGTGACTGGGACTTGCGTTGCCGTCCGAGCAGGTGTGACCCGTGGTGGGGTGTGTGTGAGCACAGGTGAGCGAGTGTGGGAGCGTGAGGCCGCGGGGCCGGGAGAAGCCGTCCGAGCCGTGTCTGTGAGCACGTGCGTGCTGCCGTGTGCCTCTCGGCCGTGAGCGTCCGGTGTGACCGCCCGAAACTCTGGAGTTGTGTGGTGTCTGGACTTTCCAAGTCGGGCGGCGTGTCTGAGTGACCGGGGTGGCGGGCAAGGAGACGAGTGGGCCGAGGGAGGCGAGGGGGAAGGCCCCAAGCACCGGGCCGGTGAGTGTGCATGGGAGAGACACAGGGAGGGGGCGGCTGGGGGGTGTGCTCACAGGACCCCCCCAGCCCGGGCATCACGCCTGGCGGCGGGGGCCGCTGTGGCCATGTGTTCCGTGGGCCGGGGCTGCGTTGTGTCTCGGAGCCCGTGGGCTCCTGTGTGCGTCCGCGACCGGACACGAAAGGGTCCTGTGTGTGTCCCAGACGGTGCTGAAGGCTTCGTGTGCTCGCGCTCGCGGGTTTGTGTGTGACTGTTGGGTGGTGCACGTGTGCCCTCCATGTGTGAACGGAGGGCGTCCAGCGAGGGATGCGCGAGGCCGTGTGTCTGATGATGTGTGAGCGTGGCCACGTGTTCGGTGCTGCTGTGTGGGGTGTGCGTTCTGTGGGCCCGTGTGTCGTGGGGGCCTGTGTGTGTGGTTCCGTCCCTGGGTTTTGTGTGCCCTGTGTGGGGATGGGCTGGTTCTCGTACATGCCGGCCTGTTGTGGGGATGACAGTGCATGGCTTTGAGAGAAGTAGTGAGTGGTGTGTGTGTGTGTGTGTGTGTGACACGTACGTGCATACATACGCGGGCACTCACACCCCAGGCACACAGACGCCCCGCCCTGGGTCACGCCAGAGCGTTTAGTTGATGCAGGCTGGGGTGGGGGTGGGGTGACCTCGGGGGCTGGGGGGGGCAAGTCCAGGCAGGAAGACCCCTGTCACCTTCCTGACCCGGTCCTCCTGGGACAGCCCCAGGGGCCTCCTTGGTGCCTACAGTGGGGCTGCCCTCGAGCCTGTGTGCACATGGACGTGGCCGTGTGAGTGTGAGGACATGCACACTGCAGTGTGTCAGCAGGCCGCTGTGCTCTGTGTGCCCAGACGGGACGGGGTGTGTGACGTGTGCCTCCTGGGGGGCGTCTGGGGCGGGTGTGCAGGAGTCTGGTGTGTGTCTGCTGTGTGCACAGCTGTGTCCTACGCGGGGCTGTGGCGTAGGGAGGGGTGTGTCCCCAGGGTGGGGGCAGACGGAGTGTCAGAGTGTGTCCAGGCATGATGTGTGTGTGTGTGCGCGCCGGGGGGCGGGGGGGCGGCAGGAGAAGGGTCTTGGGCCGCGTCTCTCTCCTCTTTAGACAGAGCCCTGGAGAAGATATGAAATTTAAAAAAAAAATCAATTTTCATTCCACTTGTGCAGATTGTGTTAAGGGGAGGGGGTACTGGGTGAGGGATGAAGGGGCTGTGGGTGGGGGGGGTGAGGCCCGAGGCCCGAGGCGGCTCCCGAGGCGGCCGGAGCAGCTTAGAGAAATCAAAACAACTGGTTAAACCCCAGCCCAGGGGGCCGGGGTGATGGGGGGTGAGGAGACGGAGACAGAGAGAGAGACGTGGAGAGCCAGAGATACCCAGAGACGGAGAGAGACAGAGACAAGAAACGCAGCCCCTCGGAAACAGATCTTTGGAGCTAGAGGCAGGCAGAGAGGACAACAAAGACCTCCGTGCGAGGGACCCTGGCACCCAGTGGGCCCGAAGGTGGCTGGGGGCCCCGTCTCTGGAGAGCCGGCGGCGGAAGTAGGCCCGAGCCCGAGCACGTTTCCCGTGCGGCGGGGGGACAGTCAGCCGGACAGATGGTGGCAGGAGCAGCGGGCCCCGCGGTGGCTTCAGCTCCCAGGGCCCACCTCACCCCGACCAGCCCCTCAACCAGTTGGCCTTTGGGTCTGAGTGTGCGTGTGTGGCCACGTGTGTTTGTGGTCTCGCGGTGGCCGTATTGTGGCCACGTGGCATCTCTGGCGTGTGTGTGTTGGAGTAATGTGCACGCGGGGCCTTTGGTGCTTGTCGTGGGACCCTAGGTGCTTTTGTGTGTCCCGTGTGTGTCCCGGTACGTCTCTGTTTCTGGGTGGCATCGAGTCAGTGTGTGCTTGTAAGTCGGTACGTCTGCCTCAGGTCGTGAGCCTCAGTGTGTCCTTACGTGTCTGTGTTAGTGGGTTTCTGTCCACGACTGGTGACTGTGTGTCTTTGTTTCTGTGGGCCGTTGAATTGGTGTGTGTCTGGAACCGCGTGTCTGTTTCTCTGTGAATATCTGTGGCCATCCTGGTGTGTGTGTGTGACCGTCACACGCTTCCTGACTGCATGGACCTGTTTGTCCGTGTGTTGCGTAGGACGTGGTGGTCCGTGTGCCTAGGTTGCCGTGTGGGTCTGTGTGCTGTGTGTTGGTTGTCATGGTCTTGTTGCATGCGATATTGTTGACAGGTGCATCACACGTGGGTGTGATGTGTGTTGTGTGCGACAGTGGAGTGTGTCACTTGGCTGAGGGGGTGTGATGTGTGCTGGTGTGATACGTGGGACTTCGTTGACCTGTGTCTGTGGGATGTGTTGTGCGTGACGGCGTGGTGTGTACCACTTTGTTGACCTGTGTGCGATGTGTTGTGACGCTGTGGCTCTTGACCCGTGTCTGTGTGGTGTGCTGTGTGTCATTTTGTTGGCCCGTGTCTGTGTGGTGTGTGTGTGTGTGCCTGGACTGCGTGTCTGCTTGGCGAGGAGAGGAGAGCGGCGGCGTCTTGCCCGCCCAGCCCCTCTCCACACTGCTGCACGCACATGCACACACACACACACACACACACACACACACACGGCCATGGCTGCAGGCGGTGGAGATGGGGGGCGGGGGGGGTGTGGAGGAAGCAAAATAAAATTAAAAATTAAAGCTTGCCCGGAGTCCCCATCCGCACGGCGCGGACCGGCGGGGCGGGGCGGGGGCTGCAGCAGCTCCCCCTCTGCAGCTACCAGGTCTGGGGCCGGCTGTCCGTCGTCTGTCCGTCTGTCCAGCGTCCTGCCGGGGCCCCTTCCTGGCCCTGCAGCCCCGGCCCCCGCAGGCCCACTCCTTCCATTGGTCGATCAGCGATCAATGGGGCCAGGGGGGCGCCAGGGGCAGGGCGAGATCAAAGGGGCCCCAAGAGACGAACACTGGGACAGAAACAGAGACGTGGAGACAGAGACAGAGATGGAGACAGAGACTGAGGGATGCGGAGACAAGGATGTGGGGAGGAGAGACGTGGAGACCCAGAGACATAAAAGAGCGGTGTGGAGACAGGGAGACGTGGGGACCCAGAGACAGACACGGGGACACACAGACGTGGCTCTGTGGACCCCGACAGTCGGGGCAGGGACCCAGTCCCTGTGGGCCCGACTGGACAGAGGCGGGGACAGAGGAGGGGCAGGCAGAGACGGCGAGACAGCAGAGATGCGTGTGAGAGATGCGGGGGGAGCGTGGGAGCAGGGCCCGGAGCGCCGATCCCACGGCTCCTCGTTATAACGTGTCCGGAGGAGGCGGCGGGGAGTTGAAAGCGTCGGGAAGAGAAATCAAAACCAACACGGAAATGAGAGGGGCCAATGGGGGTGGGGGCGGGGTCGGGGGCAGGAGGGGGGGAGGGGGACCCGGAGAGGCAGAGCGAGCGGGAGGTGGGAGAGAGGTGGCCGGCGAGGTGCGGGGCCGGGAGGGAGATGGGGAGACTGAGGCGGGACGGGCTGGGGGCACACAGAGCCGGGGCGGGGGCACAGCGGGGAGAGGGGAGAGCCCAGAGAAGGGCTGGGGACGGGGATGGGGAAGAGAGGGGGCTTGGGGAAGCCAGAGATCAGGGAGACCGAGGGAGGTTGGGGGGGCACAGGGGTTGGGGAGAGTAGGTAGAGAAGGATGGGAGGAGACCCCCGGATTGTGGGGAGACCAGGAAAGAGGGACAGAAAAATGGAAAAGAGCTGGGGGGAGACAGGAGAAGGGGGGAAAGATGCGTGCAGAGAAATAAAGAGGGGCAGAGACAGGGAAGGAGATCAACAGAGAAAGTTGGGGAGATTGGATGGGAAACAGAGGGGACCTGGGGGCGTGGGGGCAGAGTGGCCACAGGCCAAGGAGGCAGATGATGTGGCAGGGGGCCTTAGCGCTGGGGGGGGACTGTGTGGGAGAAGGCAGTCAGTGGACGCTGGGTCGGGGCGGGGGGGGGCCGCCTGGGTGTCCATGGGGACCGGGCAGGTCTGGAGGGAATGGGCCATCTGCCAAGCCTTGTCTGGTGTCCAAGGGGTGAGGTGAGGTTTATGGGGAACACAGTGGCTGTCTGGGATCTTCAGGCAGGGTGGTGTTTGGGAGGATTGCTGCGTTGGAGAGCATGTAGCGGGGGTGGGGTATTTGAGGGGGGTGTGTCTGAGCCAGGGGGTCTGAGAAAAGTGCTCTCCCTGAGAGGTGGGGCCTCAAGGGGTGGAGTGGTGAGGGCCTGAAGTATCTGAGGAGAAAAGATGTGTCTGAGGGGTGGGTGTCGGAGAGGAGCGGATGTCTCAGGGTATGAGTGTTTGTGTGGGGGGGGTCTGAGGTAGCGGGGTGTCTAAGGGGGAGGGCCTGGCAGAAGGGGAAAGGTTCTGAGAGACCAGTGAGGAGGGGATGGAGTGTCTCAGGGGGATGGGGTATCTGAAGGAGTAGGGGTCTGAGAGAACCTGAGAAGGGAGGCATATCCAAGGGGGAAGGGGTGTCTGAAGGGGAGCTGAGGGAGGAGGCAGATCTAAAGGGGGTAGTGGTGTCTGAGGGGGGAACCATATGTCTGAGGAGGAAGGGGTGTTTGAGGGGTACTGTTTGGGGGAGGTAGATCTAAAGGGAAGAAGTGTCTGAGGGGGGCTGTCTTAAGGGGATGCATATCCAAGAAGGGTATCTGAGGGGGGGCTGTCTGGGGTGGGGGGCAGATCTAAGGAGAAGGGATGTTTGGGGGGAGGTTTGAGGGGGAAGCAAATCTAAGAGGAAGTAGTGTCTGAGGGGGACTGTGCGGGGGGAGCAGATCTAAGGTATGGGGGGC